GGCTCCCGTGCTCCCCGTCCCATCCTCTGGCAAGGATGGGCTCCCACCCCCTGCCCCGGGATGGCATCACCGGTGTGGCGCCCCGGGCTCAGCTGTGGGAGGGGACCCCTTCCTGCCTCGGGCCCGCGGCAGCCGCGTTTGGGGAGCTGGGTTTGGTCCCTCCGCTCTCGACGGGAACGTGACTCTTCCCCTCCCGCATGCTGCTGCCAGATGAGGACAGTCTGTCTGGGGACGCCAGCGACATGAAGATGTCCACCTCCCAGATCAAGAGGAAGAAACGCCGGCACAGGTAGAGCCCGGGAGCCCGGCTGTCCCCGTTCTCACCTCCTCGCTGCTGCCACCATCCTCCCGCTGTTCCTCTGATCCTCAGGCTAGGGCGGTGGGTATCCCCAAGGGAGGAAAAAGGAGGGCTGCGGCAGAGGTGCGGGGAGGATTTTCTGGAGGAAAACCTCAGCGTAGGGGGGGGCTGCCAGCCCCACTGCTTGCGTCTGGACTGTGTCACAGGATGCTCTCTCCCCTCGGCAGGACAGTGTTCACAGCTCACCAGCTGGAGGAGCTGGAGAAGGCTTTCAATGAAGCGCACTACCCTGACGTCTATGCCCGGGAGATGCTGGCCATGAAGACAGAGTTGCCGGAGGACAGGATACAGGTAGGTGGCAGCGATAGTCCTCTCTGTCCCATGAAGTCTGCGGGCTGTCAGCGCCCGGCCATCTCTTCTGCTCTGTGGCAGTGAGTGCAGGTGGTAGAAATGTGGTGGCAATGAAATGCTGCAGGGCGCCTGGGGGGCAGCTCAGCTTCTGTCCACTGGCATTGAACAGCCTCCAAATGGACATACAGAACCAGGGGACTGAGCTGGCCCCAGCAGCTGCTCCCTGCTGGCAGCTTGGCTCTATCCTCCCACTCAGGCAGGAGCTGAGAGCAATTCAGGAACTGCTGGGCCAAGCTGTGTCCCACTAGTTTGCTCACTAGCTTGTCCCTTTGAGGGACATAATGGCATTTCAGGGCCTGATCCTGCTTCACTGTGGAGCAGCTCATTGGCTTAAGAATGGGATGGCGGTCTGGGCAGCAGCCCAGTTATATCTGCACCCCTCAAGCCTTCAAACACAGGAAGGGGGTATGGAGAGGGATCTGAGCACCCTCTGTCATCACTGGTCACTACATTATGGAGCCCTTTTCCTGAAGAGGTTGGTGCTCCGTGGATAAGGCAGAGAGGCCCTGTGGGTAGGCACAGTGGAGGGTGACTGTGGCTGGAATCACCCTCCTGTGTCACAATCAGCCTAGTGTTAACATCTGCTCCCTCTCCTCCCCTTCCTCCCCTCTCTGACACCCATGTGTGTGCCCTCCCTCGCACTCTTCCCCATACACTACCCTGGCTGCCCTCCCGGTGCTGCCTGCGTGTCTGCATTCACACACCCAAACCCCTCCATGCACCTCCATGGCTGCCCTTTTGCCCTGGATGCACATTCCCCTGTGCCCACTGGGCCCTGGACACCTGGCCATGGGGACTGTCTCCTCCCCAATCCCACCCCTCCGTGCTCTCCTGGCTATTACCCCTGAAGGTTTGGTTTCAGAACCGAAGAGCCAAGTGGCGGAAGCGGGAGAAGTGCTGGGGCCGGAGCAGCGTGATGGCCGAGTATGGCCTCTACGGGGCCATGGTGAGGCATTCCATCCCTCTGCCTGAGTCCATCATCAACTCTGCCAAGAGTGGGCTGGTGGGATCCTGCGCCCCATGGCTGCTGGGTGAGTGGGACCGTGGGGCTGGGGGGGTTAGGGTGCAGCTGTGGAGTGAACAGCCCTTCTTCTTTCATATGGCTATCTTTGCCTTTTCCCAGAGAAGAACAGGGTCTTGACCCTGAGCTGGACGCTGCCAAGTGTCCTGGGTTTTCCACTCCCTCCTTGCAAAGAACAGCTAGGAAAACCTTTTACTGCTGTGTCAGACAGGTGCCTGCATGTGGCTAAGTATTGCTTTGTAGTGCTAGCAGGCAGCATGGGAGTTGCAAGGTGTCTAAGAAGTCATCATTCCCCCCCAAGCTGAAGATAACTAAGGTAGTTAATGCTACCTTAGAGCTACCCTCTGCTCATACACAGTCAAAATCAGGGATGAGCCATTACACCACCCCTCTCCTTGTACTACAAGGGGAGGTATGGACTAACTTTGCCACATCCATTCTCTTGGGCTGCAGAGAGCAGGTGGCAGGGCTCTGGGTCAGGAAAGGCTGGTAGCTAGAGAGAGTTTTCCCTAGGATGCAAGTGAGAACTTGAAGGAAGCAGCAGGAGTGCAGGAAGTGATGATGAGCAGTCCCAGGCAGAAATAAGCAACCAGCACCCTTGCCTTTGCTCTCTCCCCTCTGCAAGGCATGCACAAAAAATCCATGGAGGTAAGCAGGAAGGCAGAGAGCCAAGAGAAGCTGGCAGATGGCTGGCGAACGGAGCAGGAGGAGGAGGAACTCAAAGAGAAGCAGGCCAGTTCCCAGAGGGGCTCCGACAAGCTTGGCCCTGCAAAAGACTCAGAGGACACAGCCATTGACCTCTCCAGGACAGCCAAGCACGAGAAGAGGGGTGTACTGAGGCAGTGCATCAACGGGACACCCCCCCCAGAGCAGAACGACAGGGACCACTGAGCTTGGGCTGCCCTGGAGGAGGCCAGACCTCACAGAGTCCTGGCAAGATAATAATATTTATTCATTTATTGATATATATATTTTTTCTTAAATAATGGAACTTCTATCTGAATTCAGGGCATTTTAAAACTGAGCACACACATCCCCTTGTCCCTTTACTTTCAAGCTGTTCACTTCTCAGCAGAGCCAGGGTGGAGGGTGGGAGAAGTGTCCCAGCAGGGCCAAGAGCAGTGCGAAAATTGGGACTGCATTGTGGTCAGCATGGAATGCTGCTGGAGAAGAGCCACTCTTTCCTTCTGGGCGGTGACCACTTCCCCAGCTAGCCAGGAGCACAAAGAGGAGCAACGCAATGGGAGTCGCTCCCTCCAACACGCAGGTGCAAAGATGGTGCAGGAGTTTACAGACGTCTTCTCCAAGCACAGCGCCCACGTGCCAGTCCTTCCACGTTGAACACGCAATTCTTCCACCTCGAGGATAAGCAGGGTTTTTAAACACTGTAGGGTTCATCCTCAAGCTGGTGTAACCTGAGGATGTATAAACACTCAGGTTTACACTTTCTGAGGATCTGGCCTGCCAATGCAGCCTTATCACTGGATTTACACTGTGTAGCTTCCTTAACTCATATTTGCGAGAAGGGGGTAAAGACATTTTTGTTTATGCAATGATTTTGTACACTCTTGAATGTTACCTGCAACACTATGCATAATAGAACAGACCTTTTTGAAAAGCAAGCCATAGTACCCCAGAGCAATTAAACAATTTTGTGAATTGTCAGAAGAAGATATTTTGTAATTGTCTGTAAAAAATGTTAATGTCAGAGCTGTTTCTTGGTTGCCCCATATTTGTGTCTAAAAGCACTTTAGTGATCTGGATTTTTGAATGTGGCTCTTCCTGTATTGTCCACCATTTATTTATTACGCATCCATAAATAAAATTGTGGTGTATCTTTGGTTTTCATTCTCTGCATTGCAATTTATACCTTCCTTTGGCACATCTTGTGGCAGTTACTGAACTGGCCCGTGCACATGCCGTGACAGCTCTCCTGGAACACCTCCAGTTTCATCTGCCAGCCAAAACATAACGGAAAATTATCAAAAGGTTTTATTAGAATCTGAGTAATTCCAATTTGGAAAGTTTCCTAATACAGCTCGGGGTGCGTGGCCATGTAATGATGCTGTCACCTGTTCCTGCCTCTGCTGCTGGGCCTGGCTCCCTACACACAAGCTGTGCTGCACAGGGGGAGAGCGGAGGGACAATTGCTGGGAAGAGCAGAGCAATAAGTGGCATGTGCAGATTTCCCACCTTTCACCTCCACTGCTTGGCCAGACCTTACCAAGGGTAACAAATGCATGGCAAACACAAGCTTTTGCTTCGCAGCAAAAAAAATGTTTGCTGAGGGGGGCTGTGGGGAGCACGGTTCAGGAAAGGACCAGCCAGGGCTTATTGCAGCAGCAATTAGGCTCACCGAGAGCCGAGACTTAACACATTGGAGGCCTAATCCTGCCTGAGCAGCATCTGCAAACCTTTTATTTGGGCTGTGCCATGCTGGCACTGGATGCTTGCAATCTTTTTTTTTTTTCCTCTGCCTGCGTGCAGATGGCCTGGCTCTTTGCCTTGTGCTGGGTCCAGTGCAGTGCTGTGAGAGCAAGCATGTCACCACCACAACTGCTACAAGGGGAGACACTATAATTCCAGCCCTGTGCAGGGTGCGGACAACTCTCCTGGTAGTGCCTTGTAGGCTCCCAGCTCTCACTACACCACATGCTGTGAAGGGGGAGCCAAGGAAACAGCTGCTGGCCCAAGGCACTTTTTCATGTGCTGGGAAGTAACTGTGGGGGTGCACACACTGGTGGATGACAGTGACTGCCCAGGTTCAGTTCCTGGTGGCAAGGCAATCCTGGGGACAATCCTTAGAGTAGGTAGTCACTTGCCTCTTAGCTGCCCGTGCTAAACCTGGCAGGGAAGTGCTCCATATGTCACTGTGGTTGGAGCTGCAACAGGAGTAGGGCAGCATATTCTTGTTGTTGCTTCAGATTTGACCCATGCTGGGGTTACTGGCAGCCAAACCCGGCCATGGCTCTTGCCAGTGCTGGTTCAGGCCTGGCCCAGTCATGACATTGCAACAGAAGAAACCTTGATTTAAGGCAGTGGCTTCCACTTGCACACATCTCCACTGCTGCAGTGGGGTTGCCTATATGAGACCCAGGAGCAGTCTTGGTGACCACATCAGGGCCTGGCTGTCATGAGCGTCCCTCTGTGAGGGGCCCTGGGGGTCCCTCAGCCACAAATGCTGGGCTTGTTCAGGTGAGAGATCCTTCCCATGTGGCTCAGGCAAAAGGAGTCAATAAATTCAAAGCCAGTGTTCAGAAGCCAGAGCTGCCGCAACCTCACCTCAGTTCATCTGGGCTGCCACCTGCCCTGGCACATGCAGATTTTTTCACTGCACAAACTAGCCAGGGACTTACAGGATCTGCCAAACCAATCATGGAAGAAGGGACGAGGAAAGGGGAAAAGAAATAAAATCCTACTGTTTGGCATCTCTTGGCTTGGAAGCTGACTGTCAGGCATGCACGTCTAGGGGTTGCAAGGAGGTGTCCCCTTGATGGACCCAGAACAAAGAAGGCTGCAGGGCTGCCTTTGCAGAAGCATGTTCATGGTGACACTTCTAAGAAGTGGCATTTTGTTTTTCCGGATCCTCTCAAATCGCTGGCTGGATTTTCAGGGAGGTTAGGAAGTGAGTACGAACGTTTTGTAAGCGCTCCCTCGTGTGGAGAGGGGCGGTGGGACACGGCGAGCAGCCCAGGAACGCCTAAAGGCTGGCTGCAGCCCTAGAGGCAACTGGAAGACTCACTTCTTCCCCTTATTCCCACAGACCCCTGTCTAGCTGTGAGGCGACACACAGAGGTGTCTGGATCCACAGTTAAAGAATCCTACGGGGTTTGCATTTCTTTACTCATGTCTTGTATCACCAGCAGACACTTTGTATAACGAGCAGCATCTTACCCAGAGCAAGCTGGATTCTGGCTGAGGGCACAGGCACTGATCAGAGGCTCTGACTTTGTCTCCAGACTGCTCCAGGTATAGGCTAACTGTGCCTGGGGTGTATCAGGCACAGCATCACCAGCTGGTCGAGGGAGGTGATTGTCTCGTTGAACTCTGCACTGGTGCAGCCTCGCCTCGAGGGCTGTGTGCAGTTTTGGTCACCACAATATAGGAAAGATATTAAAGCTATTAGAGAGCACCCAAAGGAGGGCTACGAAGACTGTGAAGGTTCTAGAGGGGAGGCCATAAGAGGAAGGCTGAGGTCACTTGGTCTGTTCAGCCTGAAGATGAGGAGACTGAGGAGAAACCTCATTGCAATCTGCAGTTTCCTCACAAGGGAAAGCAGAGCGGCAGGCACCGATCTTTTCTCTGTGGTGACCAGTGACAGGACCCGAGGGAATGGTTGTGCATCTGTGTCAGGGGAGGTTTAGGTTGGATATTAGGAAAAGGTTTTCCACCCAGAGGGTGGTTGGGTGCTGAAACAGGCTTCACAGGAAGCAGTCCCAGTACTAAGCCTGAGAGAGTTCAAGAAGTGCTTGGACAATGCTCTCAGGCATTCTCTGTAATTACTGGGGTTGACCTGTGCACGGGCAGAAATAGGACTTTGATAATCTTGACGTGTCCCTTCCAACTCAGGATATTCTACGATTCTATGATTTCCAAGGTTAGTTCAGCACTAGCACCAATACAAATGCATTCTATGATATCCAAGGTTAGTTCAGCACTAGCACCATACAAGTGCATTCTTCTAAGCCAAAGGCACGTATTCAGCCCACAACGTCTCACGAGGCTCGCACTGGAGAGGGCACGCTGCTCTGCCCTGAGTGCCAATTCCCTCCAACTCCACACTGCTGTGAGACTCGCGGGAGCGGCGGAGCAGCAAAAGCCTCGCCCGCCTTTTTGGCCCCGTT